GGCGTGGATCGTTTATCTTCTCTGCGAGTACGCCGCTATCGTCGTGGACTCATTTCCTAGTGGCGGGGCAACTGCCGAAAACGAGCCGAAAAGAGCGCTAGACTGGGCCCCTATTTGTTGAATGACTCGCGGGAACAAAGTCCTCGACCGCCTCCGACGCTGCGGCTCCGTTTGTATGCAAAGCAAGTGCATTGGCTGTCCGGGTGTCCGTCCGCGACCCTGCCTGGCTGTGGCTGCCTGGCTGGCTGCCTGGCTGGCCTGGCGGCCTGGCTGGCTGCCTGGCTGGCTGCCTGGCTGGCTGCCTGGCTGGCTGCCTGGCTGGCTGCCTGGCTGGCTGCCTGGCTGGCTGCCTGGCTGGCTGCCTGGCTGGCTGCCTGGCTCTTCGTCCGGCCAGCCGGCGCGACCCTGGCCATGGAGGCAGCCCACACCTTGGGCCGAGCCTTTGGCTTGCCTCGGCACACACTCACACGTACGCACGCACTCACGCACACAGACACAGCCGGCGAAAACAGTACAAGGAGAGGGTTCAATTAGCACCTCAGTCAGCTAGCACCCTCCCAAGCTGCTGCTGGCAGAAAAAGCTCAAAATCACTAAGGCAAACCTGGAGCTTTAAAGATACTTTTACAGAGCTGTGACCAACCCGACAAAGGTTATTTTTACAGGTTGTCTCAGACTGGCGGGAAACACAAAACCACTAGGAAGGGGCCCTAGTAATCAAATCGCAAGACTTTTGAACGTGTTTTTGTTGACAAGCACCCGGCGTCGGTAGTGTACAGTGTACACGCCGGGCGCAGCGCCGTCTGGGCGGCACCCTGCCAGGGGAGCGTGTGGCAGGCTGCTTCCGGACCGGGTTTTGTCGCCGTCTCGGTCGCACCCAGACGGGACGCGCCGTGAGAGCGAGAGAGACAGAGCGACGAAAGCTCGGCGTGCGCAAGCAGCCCGCAGGCGCTGCCATAGCCAAGCCAAGCTAGGCCCGCCGCAACGGAAGCGCACTGGCAGCACTGGCGACGCCCCCTCCCATTTTCGGCTGCAGACAGTTTTATTTTCGAGAACGCAAACCCTGACTCAAGTCAGCACTTTCTTGTCCTGCGGCCGGGCCGGGCCAGACCGGACGGTGTGCACCAAGGACGCCGGCGTGCAGCCGGCCTGCAGGCCCAGCCATTCCCAAGGATCGTTGCATCGCTCTCTCTCTCGCTCTCTCGCGACCCTGCGAGACGCCCCACGAGTGCGACAGAGACGAGGCGACGCTTCGGAGTCGGTCCACATGAGTGCCACTGACTCACGCCACGCAACGTCGCGGACGTGCTCTTTCAACTCGTGGACGCGTTGCTGCGCGTTGCTGCGTGGCCCCGCCGCAGGCTCATTCGCTCTGTCTCTCTCGCACTCATGCGGCGCGTCGGAAAGGCGCGAGAGAGACAGACAACTGCGTGACGCTGCGTGGACGTGCCGGGTGTCTCAACCTGCTGTGCCTCGATGACTCAGTCCAGTGCAGCAAGCAGCACGTGCTGTACGTTGTCGTTGTCGCTCTGCAGCCGGTCACAATGTCTCTCGGCACACTCCAAGAGAGCGAGGGAGACAGAGCGACGCTGCGGGCAGCAGCCTCAGCGAGCACGGCGACGGGGATACCGTCCCGTGCAACGCTGGAGCGCGCCGGGTTGCCTACCCCCGGGTTCGCAGGCGCTCTTGATGCATCCCCGTTCCCTGGAAGGACTCGCTGGTGTTCGGACCCGCGACCGTCGCCGGCTGATTCTGCACAGCGCTTTCGTCGCTCTGTCTCTCTCGCACACGTAGATCGTTGCGGAGAGGTGCGAGAGAGACAGAGCGGCGAAAGCGCTGAGCGCCACGTGCCGAAAGTGGCAGAGTGGCTGCGCAGTTTGTTGTTGCGGTTTGTTTACGCCAGGATGCTTGGCCAGGACAACAGGACTATGTAGTGGTGGGCGGGGCGGGGCGGGGCGGGGCGTGGTGTTGTTGTCGGGAGCACTGCTAGAGCGGGCCTGGGCCTGGGCCGCCACGTGTGGCCCCGGTCAGGATCCTCGCCGGCCGGGTGGAGGTGGAGGCCCTGCTGCTCTACGCTGCACGCGCGGCGGCGTGGCGGCGTGGTGCAGAGCCCCACGATTGGCGGACGCCGCGCCGCGCGTCCCGCGCTGTCCGCCCATTGGCTGGCCGCGGAGGCGCGCCGGCGGCGTGGCCTTCTGGGCTGCGTCCGCGTCGTCGGCGTGGTCCGCGGGGCGCGGCGCGACGAGCACTCCGGACGCTGCCCCAGACAGACGCCTAGCGCGCTAGCAGCGCGGGGCAGCGTGAGAGAGGAAGAGAGGGGGCTCGTGTTGTCGGCGGCGGACTAACCGAGTCGCTCACTTGACGCATTTCGGCGAGCAGGAAAAAATTGGCGCGGGAAGGGGGAGACGGCGGCGGCGAATCGAACTCTGGCGTTCGGTTCGAAGAGACGGGTTTTGCTTCCGTGAGACGGCACGCGGTTTGCCAGAGGGAATGCCTCTCTTGGCCTCGGCGACCTTCCTTGTTCGAGCCACACTTCTTTAATCCCTGCGACAACCGTACAGCACAGAGAAAGACAGCGGCACGGATTTAACAGCTAAATTTGTAAAGTCGTCTACAAATAAAAAAGACATTTTTTAAGAATCTGGTTGTTTTGTACACTTTAGCCGTCTGCTGTTGGTCAGTCTCATGTGTTGGTCGAGCCGAAGGAACACACCCATCGCCACGCAGGTCTGGGAGTCCTGGCTCAGGTGTAAGGACGGTGGAAGGTTCGGGGGGAAAGGCGGGGGGGGGGGGGGGGTCGCCGAGTTGTGTTGGGGGAAAAGTGGAGGTAGAGGTACTTTCAAGGCTGCCGGCTTGAGGCTTTGTCCAGGCCGGTCGTCCCGAAAACAGACAAACACCCTCCCCCCCCCTTCCTCTCATCATCCATCCGGCCATGCGCAGCCAGGCCCAAAGAGCAGAGCGCGAACCACAACAAGTCGATCCTATGATGAATAGCCGCTCAGCCGACGGTCCCGAGTTCAAATACCGGTCCCTGAGAGTGGTTTTTGTTTCCTTCGGTCAAATATTGTATTACTGCGACTAGGAACAGTGCTTTCATCGTCCTGTCTCTCTCGCACCTCTACGGGACGCCCACGAGTGCGAGAGGGACAGAGCGACAGGAGTGTTGTTCGGATCGCTCTCGCGAGGTGGGCGGCCTGAAGCCGGTGGCGTGAGGGACCCGCACGCGCCGCGCGTGTGACGAGCCGAGCACCGCCGCCGCATCGCCGCCGAGCCCAGCCGGGCCGTGCTGCCGGTACGGCGGTACGCCGTCCCGCGGGCCCCGCACGTGTAGCTCGGTGTTTACGGCGGAGACGCGCAGGATGTGCGCGAGGCGCGGCGAGGCGCTACGCGTGGCAGGGCCTGTGGGGGCAAGCGGGGCGCACACCGCCTTCTCCACGGCCTCCACGACCACCGGCACCATAAACTTGTTTTCCGCGCCGAAACTGCCAGAACAGACGCCTCTGTCTTCCGACGGGGGCAGGCGGCAGCCCGGTGCAGTGTCATGCTCAACGCAGCGTGTCTCTCCCTTTCTCGCCCCATGAGTGCGGAGTCAGTCCTCTGGCCGCCGAAGCCAGGAAGTGGCGACGGAAAGTGAACGCCCCGAATCCGCTCTAGTGGGTCACAGACATCCCTTCCCGCTGCCAACCCTCCCTGTACAGTGTGCACGACCCCTGGCCGCGGGGCGGCGCGGGGCGGGCCGGAGCGCAAAAACTCGTTCTATTAATATCAGTAGCAGCCTGTCAACATTGGCAACAGAGGGCGCTGCGCGCCGCGTCTTGCAGCTATTCTAGGGAAGCCCTTCCCTTTCCCTTCCCGCCGCCGGCGATACTCCGCGCCGCGCCGGTACGCCTCGCGCGCCGGGCCACCGGGCCGCTGCAGTGGCGCGGGGTATCGCCGCGCCGACAGGCCGACGCCAAAGTTGCAAGTTGGAAACGTCCTGAGGTCTCGGTGGTGGCGACACGCCAAGGCGTGCCTCGGCCGCCGCTAGCTGGGCCTGCCCCTCGGCCTGGCCGCGGGGACCGGCCGTAAGCGCGGCGAGAACGGCCCGGGGTCGCCTCCAGGTGCTGCAGGCCCGCGGCAGGGAAGTCCACAAACCCACTGAGCGAGAGAACGGGAGTTTTTTAAAAAAATGATAGATTGTTGACGGACGGTCCCCGGGGATGCGCGGCGTCGTGAAGGGGACGGCAGACCAAGGCGGCAGGGTCGCGGCGACGCTGTACCGAGCTGCCCCAGTGGCGGGGCTGGCGGCTGGCGGTGGCCCAGTGGGGGCTGGCCGGGCCTGGTGGACGGTAAGGCAGTGAGGCCGCGCGCGGAGGGACGCACAGCGACGCACAGCGCGCCCCGCCGACGCCATGGAGTCCAAGAACAAGCAGGACAAGGACAAGGTGAGGTGGAGCTGCGGCAGGCGGTTGCGGGGCTGCAGCAGGGGCCGGGTGGCGTCGAAGTCGCGCCGCCCGGGGGCGAGCTGTGGGCGCCGCTGCCTGTTGCATCGGGCCCAGGGCCCAGGCCCAGCCCCAGGGTCAAGGTGCAGACTACAATACCGCAGCGCGACGGGCTGCGGAAGGCGGCGCGCCCGAACGTCGACTTGACACCGGGTCGGCAAGCCAGGCCAGCAGTGTCGCTGCTGGTCCTCATGTGTCCATCAATGCGGCCATTCCCGTCGGAATCCTATCGGAACCGCGTCCCATGGGCCGACGCCGAGGTGCCTCCATTCTTACCTTGTGTTGCTATTTTTACCCCCGCACTGACTTGCCGGCACCAAGCCACAGCAACAGCAGGCTGGTACGGCGGGCGATCGGCGCAACATAGGGTTGCCACCCTCGCCATGTTGGCCCACTTCGGCCCACTTAGCGTGGCGGCCGTGACCACAAGGGGGGTGGCAACTGCACCTCCCGTTGCCAGGACGGCGGGATGCACACGCCGTTTCTACTTTCAAGCCGCGAAGCTGAGAGGGTTCTTTGATGCACCCCGAGAGCACGCCGCCATGGCCAGCCAGCCAGCCAGCCATTCACCGCAGTGGCGAAGGAGGGCATTGTCAGGGTGCCAACAGCCGCCGGCGCGCTGTGTGTAGGGTTGCCTACCCGGCACTTCACAGGCGTTCCTTTCTTTTGCCGCTTTGACACTCTGCGCTCCGCTTTACTCTGCTCCGCAGGGCAGCAAGCTGGACCGGCCCGAGGAGCTGCCCTGGGACGTGGTGGACCGTTGCCTGCTGCCGGTGCTCACGGCGCACGCGCTCGCCGTCATCCTGGCCTTCATCCTCAACACGCTGCGCATCTCGCAAGTGTCGTCCTGGACGCTCTTCTTCTGGTTCACCGCCATCACCCTCGCCACGCTGTGGTTCTACCACAACCTGCAGGTAAGCAGGCCGACTCTCTCGCACTCGAGGGCCGTCCCGCAGGGGTGCGAGAGAGACGCGGCAATGCACAGCACAGTGGTTCTCGTTCAGGTCACCGCTGCGGGGAAGACCGTGCTCGTCACCGGGGCGGACAACCGTCTGGGGCAGGTCATCGTCAAGCAGCTGGATGAAGTGGTGAGTGAAGCACGCTGGGCCTACCGCGGCACCGACAGAGAGGAGACTGCCACTCGGCTCGTTGCGCCGGCTTGCGCGTTGCAGGGCTTCACGGTGTTCGCCGGCATGAAGCAGAAGGCGTGCGCCGAGGCGGGCCGCCTCAAGGACCAGTGCTCGGGCAGGCTGCACGTGCTGCAGCTGGACGTGACCAAGGAGGAGGACATCATCGCCGCCAGGGACTACATCGCCGCCAACCTGCCCGACGGCACGGAAGGTAACGTTCTTACTCGGATTACCCGATTCAGGATGCCTCCGTCGCCCTCGAGGAGCTCCTCATAAGGGTGCGAGGGAGGCAGACCGACAAGGAGAGGGTTTGTGACGTGCTTCGCGGAGTTGCAGGTCTGTGGGCCGTGATCAACAACGAGCAGTGGGCAGCCTTCGGCGAGGTGGAGTGGGTGCCACTCCCGGTGTTCCGCCAGGCCGCCGAGATCAACTTGCTGGGGACCATCCGGGTGTCGCAGGTCTTCCTGCCCCTCGTCCGAAAAGTCAAAGGTCCGAGCACAGGACCGCCACTGCGGTAGAACAAATGCAAAGGAAAGATAAGTTTGACGCCGTCCCTCCCGCAGGCCGCATCGTCAACGTCGTCAGCGTCCTGGGCCACGTGACTGCGCCGCTGCAGGCGCCGTACTGCACCGTCAAGTACGGCGTGGAGGCCTTCAGCGACTGCCTGCGCAGCGAGATGCGGCGCTGGGGCGTCGACGTGGTGGTCGTCGAGCCCGGCGACTACACCACAGGTACAGTCCCCCCGCCGGTCCCACTCCGCGTGCTGGAACTGTTTGGATCCCCGTGACGAACAGCGACTGCGGTCTGGGGTTGCAGGCAAACTGTGGTACGACGACACCAAGTTGCTGCAGCAGGCCAAGGAGATGTGGGAGGGAATGCCCGAGGAGTCGCGCCAGGACTACGGCGAGCACTACTTCGAGTACACCATCCGACGCAACCTCGAGCCGTACACCAAGGGCAAGGTTCGTGCCGGCAATCTTCTCAGTTCTCACTCCAGTACCCTGGATACCCTGCAGCCAGAAGGGCCTTGGTCACGTTGCTTTTGGTTCCGCTTCCAGGAGACGGACATGGCCCCCCTGATGCGCTCCCTCCAGGACGCCGTGTGCCGCACCTTCCCGCTGCAGCGCTACACCGCGGTGACGCGCGCCGAGAAGATCCGCATGCTCATCTTGAACCACCTGCCGCGCTCCGTGCACGACATTCTGTACCCGTGAAGCGGCAACGCGCCAACAGACCCTCCCCCCGCCCCGCCCCGTCTTCTTGGAGTGACTCGACTCCCAGGTCGGAAAGACTGCCACGCCCGAAAACCCGGCGCGGCCCAACTGCCATCGGAGGGGAGGAGACCTGACTGCCGACGGCCGGGGAAAGGGAGTGCGAAACCAAATTTGCGAGGTCTGATCCGAGGATTTTACGACGGAGGGTGTTGCCCATACCATCATTCCGAAAGGAGTAACCGATTCTGTGTCTGCGTGACAGACTGAGTAACGGTCACCCATCGATTCAAATGTAAATGAAGCACAAATATTTGTATTTGGTGGCTGTATTATGCAGCTTCCCACTGCCAGTAACCAAGATTTAAAAAATAAAAAAATTACTCTACTGAAAGAGGAAAAAAATCTGTAAAATTAAATTGCCAGTCTGTGAACCCGAGTATTCAATTTTGATGTAAAATTAACTTCCCAATTTATATATATATGTGCCTTATCATCAATGTTGTACTTTGTAGAATTGTGGTCCAAAACATGCATTTTTAATCATATATTTTTAACTGCTCGCATGTGTGTGCTACCCATTGTACTCTTGTCCCCGTAGTTAATAAGCAAACAATAAAGTGCAGCTACTGGTATTCTTTTTGTATGCATTTAAGCATCCATAACTAGCTTCAAATTTGGCGCTTCTACTTTTTTCTCAGGTCTAGGGCTTATGGGAAAAATCAAATACCAAGACAGTCTTAGTGAACTTTTTAATAAAACACAGAATGCAAGAAAACTTGCACACTCCCTAAACAAGAAATCATGAAGATAGGAAGTCCAATGACAATATTAAGTTATTACCACATGATTGCGTGAAATCTAAGACAATGCATAGATTAACTATTATTCATTATTAATCTGATACAAATAAAAACAAATTTCAGCTACAAATGGGATTTAGAGCAATGAAGTATATTAAATCACTGGCTTCGGTGGCCATAGAAACTAATGGAGAAAATGTAAACCCATCTTAAGTTTTAGAGTTGATTCCATAAAAAATGGGGATTTATATAAGATCACAGGCACAGTTGTGGTCGACGGCCATCGACAACATGCTCCACTTCATCCTGTAACATAAAAACACCATTCTTCCAGACTGCGGACTAGCCTCCGCAAGACTGCCTACACCTAACAACTACAAAGGAACAGACTCGTCCGACTAGACCAAGAAGGAATGATAGTTTGAAGTGAAAGGCTTAGGCTTGACTATTTTAGGAAACATGAACATTGTAATAGGCATACAAAAATAACAAGTCATTCTAAGGATTCTATTAATCCTGAAACTGTATCAAAGACCATTTTGCCATAAAGGTCGGAATTTAAATGTTTTGATGGAATTATTTAATTGAAAATAAATTTTGTTTTTTTAAAAGACAAAGCAGCATCCTGAAAATCTTACTTTAAATAAAAAGTAAATAAGAAAAGAGTGAAGCACTTCCTCTCTTTTAGCATGTACATTAGAAGAAAAAAGTTGAAAAAAAAAAGACGACATAACTATAGGCAGTCTTAGCACACCAGTATTGCAACTTTTAGGATCACTCTCTTATTCTATCATCTTAGCCTTGAGCTAGAGAGGAAGAGCTTCTTTTTATAATAGTTCTAAGGAGAAGTTAGAGGTACCACCTTGTGCAAGTTGCTCAGTCCTTGCGTCCGTGCCTTGATGACTTCTTACCAGACGATCGATCGGAACTTGCAGATGAAGAATCCCTGCCCCTGTCTCGATGCTTTGTCCGTTTGGAATGAGATCTTGACCTGGATCTTGAACGGTGGCGATGTGAAGAGACGGACACAGACCTCGAGTCGGATGAGCTCCTCTTGGTATGGCTCCTTGAATGGCTGCTGGATCTACTTCGATCCCTCCTCCTACGGTCCCTGTCCCTATCTCTTCTTCGGTCTCTGTCCCTCTCACGATCCCTATCCCTATCGCGATCCCTTTCCCGATAGCGATCTCTCTCCCGGTCCCTGTGACTATCCCTGTGAGAACCACTTTTGTACCTTCTTCTGCTACTACTGTCTCTGTCAGGATCTCTTCTACGTCTCTCCCTACTACTTGACCGACTTCTTGATCGACTCTTTGATCTACTATGATCATCTCTCTTCCCATTCTTCCTTGATTTTCTCTCACGGCTTGTGCTTCTACTTCTCTTCTTTTCTGACTTTTTCTTTCTGTCCTTTTTCTGCTTTTTGCTTTTAGAACTCTTTTTCCTATGGGAGGCCTTAGAAGAAGCAATAGAGCCTGTTTCTAAGGAGTCTGATCTACTAGACTCGCCATCTGAACTTGATCGGTGCCTATTATTTTTGGTTCGATTTGAGTCCCTATCACTTCTCTCCGGTGAAACAGATTCTAGGAATGGAACCAAACCTTTTTTCGTCCGGACATCATGAGTTCCTCCATCACTAGGTGCCTCCGTCTTGGCTCGCTCTTCCGGATGCCCTAAAATATGGATTATTTGTCAGGCATGTACACAAAAGGGTAACAGAAATTGGAGAGACCCAAGTTATTATTCCCACTAATTTTGAAACTGTCTCATGAATAGAGAATGTAATGTCAATAGTCTGTTTGTTAGGTACTTTTCATACCAGATATAAATTAGCTTAGTATAATTTAGCTCTTTAAAAGGCTTAGTGTCACTGTACAAGAGTCATGGTAGTCACGTCAAATTTTTTTCCAAATAAATAGAGGAAGATAAAGTTGTCTCCTCTAAGAAACATATGTCATTTGTCACTTCCCATTAGGAAATTAACACCCAACAACCTGAAAAACAAAGTCTAAGCCACAATACCATACTCACCATGGTGACTCAAATGAAGATTTGATCCAGATTTCTGGCTCTCTACCTGTGCTTCCCCTTTGTACCCCCCTCCCCTCTCATTGCCCCTCCTTTTAGTCTGTTCTTCATCCTCTTCATCATCTTCTTCATTGTTTCTCCTTTCTCTATCCTCTTCTTCCGCAAGCTTTTTCTCTATTTCCTTTTCAATAAGAGAAAATTCCTGCTTTCTCCTGCGGATCATTTCCTGCAATAGAAATTCAGAATATGTTAGAACAACCAGTTCTAGATCTGAGACGGCCAGAAGCAAAACGCTAATAAAAGTGTACCTGAATGTCCTCGTCCGAATCGTCGCCGTTCGCAGGCCGAGTGGTGTCCCCTTCATTCTCCGAGTCGCTGTCTTCGCTGTCATCATAGATTCCCAAACCTGCACCATCACACAGTAGGATGTGTGAAAAAGTTGACAACATAACAGTGCAGAAACAGACATTCCCCACAATGGTCCAATATGTGACTAAAACTAAACTTTTGAACATAATAGTGAAAGGACACATTTGATCCCTGCATTTGAATTTAAATAATTCATCACATAGTGAACCACTTAACAATTACCAATTCTATCATAAACCATACATGCTGTTATGATTTAGTTTTCTCCCCAACATGCTATATCAAGAAAACACTGAAAGCAAAAGTATGCAAAATTTTGTTCAAGTGCCTCTTGTATTGAAGATGACCATTTTGAAATGCCTCAAATTCAAAACTAAAGCGCCAGCACCAAAGATTAGAACTTTTGATCCAAGTTCCAATGGAACTCCTGTGCTTCCTAGAGAATGAATCTACAAAATCCACTTAATTTCAAAGCCCTCTAATTTTAAGATACTAATAGAACTAATATTTCATTTTCAGTTATCATAATAGCTAGATTGCCAATTTTTCATCAACAACATAGAATGAATTCGTGTCAAGAGCCACAAAAAATATTTTGTCATAGAAAAACTGGAAAGGATATGGGAAAAGGTAAGAAGGATAAATCATGCAAACTTTGCTATTTGTATCTAACACTGGAAAACATTTAAAAGGAGGCATCTTCACCATAAAAAGAATCCCATTCATACACAACAAACATACAACAAGCTGGATTGAATACAACATGAAAAAGGTCATGTTTTACTGTGCATGTAAGATGAGGGGGAGAAGCACACAAAAGGAAAATGAGACTTACCAAGTTTACCGGTCAAAGATGCTAATGCCGGTGTCTTCTGCACTGTTGCTGCTGGAGCTTTGTCACAAGATACAAATTTTATTAAAAGAGCAATGCTTAATGCTTATGGAATGAGTGTTTCTGTATCCCTTCTAGAAACTGTCCCAAAAACATTTTAAAATGTGGTTTGTGTTTATCAGCTCACAAAAAATTGTTCTCCTATATGACTGAAGTAGATGTGATAAAATAATACTAAAAACAACTATGTGTGTGAATTTTTCAGTGTATGAAACACCAGTGGTTGGAACAGTAGATAAAAAACCAACTTACACATTCATTTGATGCAGGAACCTGAAAGTGTAACACTTTTACCTGACTTCCAAGCATATCCCATTTAAATTGTTTATAGTTCAAAAACACACCAAAAATGGTGATATGTAAACAGAAAAAGATAAACAGTGTTCCAAAAGCTAAGTCATAAACAGTCCAACATTTCAACATGTTGAAATGTACCCTTCTTGTGCACAAAATGTTCAATAACAGTTGAAAAGTCTGTGGAGTGCAAGACAAGAAAAAGACCCACTTCACTTTGCACACAAATTGGGTTTTAGCTATACCTTTAGTTCGGGCCCTATTGAATGCATCCTCAGCTACCGACAGCATTTCTTCTGTAGTCACCTCCAGTAGCACCTCTGTTAACATACGGCGTACCTTCACCATCTAAAAAACATTTTTTTTTTTTAAATTAGTTAACTTATTTCTAATTCTAAAAAAAAATAAGTATAGGACAAAAAATTTAAGAAGAAACCCTACCACTTCTTGCATGATTTCCTCCTTGCTCTTTGGGGGCTCTTCAGGCTCTGGAGTGGGAGATTTCCCTCTCCGGCTGGGACTTTCAGCATCACTAAATCTAGATTTCCGTTTTTCCTGATTCAAGCTTTGCTTTTCTTCATCTTCAGAGTCACTTTCCTGTTTAAATTATTGAAAATATTAATATATATAGTAAAATGAGTTACTCAAAAGTCATTATGATTCACAATATTAGTTCTACTGACAAATTTGCTCTTTTTGGGAATCATTGGCTCATCAGCCTCTGCTAATGCCTCCTCCTCTTCCTGAATTTTCTGTCTAAGCATTTCCTCTCTCTCTTTCATTTGTAGCTCTCTTTCTATCTTTCTCTGCTTTTCTCTTTCCATTTTCTCAAGGCCTTCCCTAATCCAGCCAGGCAAATTTCGACGTTTAGCAGCATCTATGAAATAAGTGTTAAAACAATAATACAGCAAAGTTTCCTTATGAGATCAATGGCGATGCCACACACGTCTAAGATGTCAAGCTAAGATACAGAAAAGTAAACCAAACTTACCAATGGTTTGTGTGGTGTCCACATCTTCAATCTCCGCAGACTTCCTGTCACTTCGCAGAAATCGGTCTCTGGCCGGTGGGCGGCTGCCACCCCTTTTCCAAGTACCGCCCCTCGGCTGCTTGGCAAATGGGTGCGCAGGGGCAGCATCATTGCCTGCATGATGAGGGGGTGCAGGACCGGGAGCAGCTCCAGGGCCTGGCCAAAATCCACCAGTGGGTGTGGAGGCTGATTCTGAGTTGCCATGGTTGTACTCAAAGCTACTAGCTACTGCTCCATCCAACAAGGCCTGGCCACCTGCTGTGTTATACCCGTATGTAGGGGGAACAACAATGTTTGCTGGTGGTGGCACTGAATTGTTAGGCCATTCCCATGGTCCAGCCCCCCAGTTATTCCATGTACCCCATGTAGATGGGTCAGCTAAAAACAGAAGTTAAATCATTAAAGACAAACAGTTACAACACTTTCGTAATAAAGCACAAGGAAAACAGCCATCAACTGCTGCACTACCTGGGTCACCAGGAGGAAGAGAACTAGAAGATTCCATAGCTTCCTCCTTAGTTTCCATATCCATGGGTGCTTCACCACCCTCAGGCCCAACATCATGTACTTCTTTGACTATTTCTCGTTCACGCCCTATGGGTCCAATGGGAGGGGGTGGGGGTGCCGGAGGTACCTGGTCAGGTGGAAACGTATCTTTCATCTGAATCCATTGTTGTGCAAGCTGCGCCCAGTCAACTGAAAAGGAAAAAGAACGCAAAATTAATTTACACTGGACCAATGACTAAATTTGTAACAATATATTGACTACCAAGACTGTACAGAACTCACTTTCATCATGAGAGAGGTTTTGATAAGCCGAAGGGTTAAGCGCCCATTGAGAATATTCCGCATTACTGCTGGCATTACTTGTGCCAGACCACATTTTTCTGCGCAGAAAAAATGCACAACATTAACACAACAGTACCAAATATTTACTTTTAAATAAGAACATTTATATTATCCTAAGGTTTTAAAGAGTCATCTGGAGCCACAGGCACAGTGACCCTAGTTAGGGAAAGGAAAGAACGTGCCGGCCACGACCAAGAGCTTCGCGAACGATAAATACAACAATCCACATGAAATAACAAGTCAGCACGAAAATGATTAAAATGGAGAACCACATAGGTTATTGAAATAAACACTGCTGAGATGCTCGAGAATTAACGGACTTACACGAAAACTAAGAACTGCTACCGACGCACCAAATTGAGAAATAGTATCCTACATGCAACTAGCTCCAATAATACGCCATTATTAACACAAACTAACAATAAACTTCAAATTCTAACACGAAATCGGAAGCTGTCCATCGTCCATCGCCACCGCAGCTTTTGGATGCTCGATATCACATTCTTTTATTTTTATTTTAAATATGGCCACCAATGCACGGCGCCATGCGAATCGCAATCGCAATCTGTTTCAAGGTGGTTAGATGAGAAATATATACAAGCACTAGAAAACTAAAATAAATTTAAAAAAATAGAAAATTGCTTCATTTTGCATTCAAGAATACCCACGATGATCCTGGATTCAATTTCAATCTTATCTGATTTGAGTAACTGGACATTTTTCCGAATCAACTTCGGTAAAGTGCTAGAATAACCTTCCTCGCAAATCCTTAAGTTCTTAGAAGTTTTTCATTCCCATACCTGCAACGCTGACGTTTTAAAAACAAACACCGACAAACACTCAGCTGGGCAGTTTTTATTTTGAATTTTATGGTAAGTTTCTTGAATGAAAGTACATTTTATTCCGATTCTCTACCTTTTACTTTTGCATTGATAGAGTTGAACATTGTATCCACGATGCGAAAAATGAGTGTATTTTTAGTTCTAGGTTTAGCGAGCAATGGGAGACAGTGATGATGATCTTGAAATTGTCCATGAAACAATTTCTAACGATAAGACAAAAAATTGGAAGTATCCTGTCGCTAATCCTTGGATTAAGAAAGATGGAGGAGCCAATGACATTTTGCAAACCATCCGAAACAAACTTAAGATGGAGAATAATAGCCCTCAGTTCAATAGCAATGATACTACTCAACCGACACCATCTTCTTCTGGCACCAAAAGGGAGCGTAAGAAACCTATAGAAAAACAAATAACTCCACTACCTGGTGCAGGAAGTGCCATACCAAACTTGCAGGCAACGCCAGAGAGGTCATCCCACAAACCACCTCTATCGTTGACTCCTGAACAAATCGCAGAACTCACTGAGAACTGTCTTGATAGTGACAATGAACCTGAAGCAACACCAAGTAAATTGCCCCAGACCCAAGGAATGCAGTCACAAGCAACCAAGAGGACCCTGAATTTTTCCAGCGTCAAAACCTCCAGTAGTATTCGGAACAGAGCATACAAGTTCTTTGGATCAGGGACCTCCAGCACTGAGGCAGAACAAATTTTAAGTCAAGGTGCCAATACTTTTGAAAATATCCTGGAAATTTTTTTGCAGAAACTCTGAAATAATGTTTCTTTACTGTCCTTTCGGATTTCAGGAGATGGAGACACACTGCACTCTCCTTCAAAGTCACCATCACCAAAGAAAAAGAGGCTGTCGAAAAACTCTCCCATACGCTTGTTAAATAGGAACAAAAGCCCTGTGGCAAGCACATCAGCGCAAAGTCCACCTGGATCAGCTTCTAAAGTGCGAAGGCGTATCCATAATGATGAAGACGGAATGAATGAGGGTCCTTACTATTATGAAGCTTTTTGCTTTATGATTAGGGTTAGTATCAAAAAGTAACAATTTGTTTTAATGAAGGTAAAAATTGTTTTTAGATTATTATTACTAGTATTAAATAAATTAGCTAATTACTCTTTTATCTGTTGACATAAATTTTGCAGAAAGTTTGTAATAATGTGGCTTACCATCATCTTTTTCTTGAATCTGAACTTAATGCGTTAAAAGAGATAGGTCATTGCAAACAAGAAATTCAACTTTATGTACGACTGATGAACAGAAAAGACAAATGGAATAGGTGCTCAGATATCTCATACAATGATATTTCAATAGATCTTGCACCTCTCTTCAAGTTTCTTGAAAACAAAGGCTTTGTCACTTTTGGTTAGTGTTTTGGTAAACAGGCACACTTTTTTTGCCTTGATTTTTTTCATTTCTGTTTATCTCCTTCATTATGTTTATATCTTTTCTAGATGTATCAGATGAAACGACAGATGCACTTTTACATATTTTGAAGGTAGAAGACTTAAAGAAAATTTGCTCAGCTTTTAAACTGAAAAAAACTGGTAATAAGCCGGATCTTGTACAGGCTTTACTTTCTATGCAAAGAACCCAGTCTACTTTGAATGGCATCAACCCTCTACGGCAAAAGTACTCTTACATATTATGAAGTGCTGGATCATACGATTTTCAATATGCCACATATATTCATCTGCAGTTTTTATTTCTAGAGTGGAAGCTGCACTTGGACAATGTGTTAGATTAACCACTGAATGGAGAATAGTATTTCGTCGCTGCATCCTTCTATTCTCAATGTTCCATTCATTTGAAGATTTAGACAAGCTTAGCTCCGAACAGGCCTTACTGCTGTTGCAAGTTAAGCTTGGCAATATGGTATTTCCAATAGTTGATGTCAAGACCAATCAATCTGTTCAAATTTTTAAGACAAGGGAACAGCTTATTAGGTATGTTGCTCCTGTTCTAATTGTTTGTTGAAATAGATTGCCTTCTAGTTGCTTATTTATTATCTTTGGTTCAGATATGAGGAAGCTAAGATGCTTCATCAGGACTTAAATGCTGCCATAGAGGATAAAGGGCATACAGAAGTAGAGCAAATTACTAAGAATTGTATGAGTCAGTTGAAAGCTTTGTTAGGTGTATCATCTGAAACGTAAGTAAGGTGCTCCTTCTTTTTGTATTAATTAATTTGGTATTTTAACCCTCATGAGTGATTAATCATTCAGGGACCATATCCTGCAATTACCCAAATTTCTGCGAAAATTCTGTGCTGGGTCTTCCTACACATACTCTCTAACAAAGTCAATAGATGCTTTGAAACAAGGAAAGAAGTATACTCTGGCATTAGATATTCTGAAATTTCTGTTGAACCAGAACGTATACTGTCTCCAATATCAGGGCCGGTGGGCTCTTCTGCTGTCATCACTGCTTCACATTAATATCAAGAATATTGTCAAGGTGAGTATATCTTCAAGGATATTTAATAACTACAAAGGAAGCTATTTTTTTTTTAAACAGAGAAGAAAAATTATGTTGAATGTTTCATTCATTCTTTCTGATAATATCCTCCATTTTCTCTTGAACCTTTATTTTAGGCTAGCCAAGTGTTATGTTCCGCTTTGAAAAAGAAATCATCACTGAGCCCTGTTGATAGGATGCATTTGCAACTTAGGGCGGAGAAAGTTTACAAATTAAAGAAAAATGGGCTTTCAAAAGAGCTGAAAGAACAGCTTAAGCGTGTTATGGACCCACCCTGTGAAGCTCCAGAAATGGTGGAAATAAAAGCTCGAGCCCTTACAGGATCTAAACCGGGTCTAAAAAAGATATATGTCAAAGATAGTGCAGAATGCAGAGCCTTCATGTCAGTAGAAGAAACTGTCATTGACCATTATAAGTCCTTTGGTTTTCACAATGGTAAATAAGAGGAAATTATTTTTATTGCCCAAAAAAAGTTTTCAAAGTCACTTGCTATATAATATTTATTTATTGATCTCTTTCATTAGGAGTGCATGATGAAGGCTCAACAATATCCTCATTGTGTCTTTTATCTTTGTGGAACATCATTTACGACGTGTCTGTGCCACTAGTATTCCAAAGTCCTTACCAGGACAGACCCTTAGATTGGGGCTCTAAATTCTTTTATGAATCTAGGAAAGAACCCATTGAGGCACATTTTAATTATTTGTTGCGTCAAGATGTTCAGTCAGTTGCAAAAGAGTTGCATGAACTCCGTTTAAAATATGGACATACTACCTGCCTTGTGAATTGGGACAGGCTGGAAAACTTAAACTTTCAAGTAAGAAAGCAGAAAGCCTACAGATAGTGAGTAAATTTCATGATTTTATATAATGTAATGTTCTTCATTCCTCTGACAGACATTCTTAGATTGTGTAACTGTACCAACCTTTGTTGCTGTGTCAAGGAGGCTTATCCAAGACTGGAAATCTCACAGATGTGGATTTCCAGATCTTATACTTTGGTGTTCCTCCCAGAAAAAGGTATAAACTTCTCAATATCTCAACCACAAGTACTATTGGCTGACTGAAGAATTGAAAATAAATGGTTATATCTGTTGCAGTGTTTGTTCATAGAAGTGAAAAGTCCTAATGACACTTTGTCATCAGTGCAGTGTCTGTGGTTGAGCTTCCTGCGTGGTATTGGTGCCAATGCAATTGTTGTTAATATTCGAGGTGAGTATTCAAAGGCACACTTTGCTCTCAGTGTCTCCTACAAAACTTGCACTCATACATATTTTTGTGGTTTCAGAATCTGGTTCCAAAACACTAGCAGTACAAATGAAATAAAAAATCAAAATTGTGGCAAAGCTCACTGTTTGTTACAGATAATTGTTATATCAGTAAATAAGAATCAATAATGAAAGAAACAAAATTGTTAATTATGCATGCTTTATTGAAAGTTGGATTTGAAGTATAATTGTTGATAGCAGTTGTGCTTGTGGTGCTCAGCCACCACTGATCACATACTTGAGATTTTACAAATAAATTGTTACAAAATAGAAATAACCATCTTCATATTAGACATTCCTAGAAATAATTCTACATTCAGATGCTGGAATCCTTCTCAGTAATAACAAGCCACTTCATTGCAAATTGATGAGAATTCGGATAGAGCTGGCCTCAGATAGAGGTGGCCTCAGATTTACAAAGGTTTTTTTTTTTTCATTTACATAGTGTCTGACAATAAGGATGGTTGTGTACTAATTTTCTTTTACTTCAACAATTCAGCAGTAAGCATCTACATAATCTCATAAGTATACGTAATACTCACAATAAAATTGGTCAACCAAAAATGTTGAGAAATAGGAAATTTGAGGTAGAATGAGTTGAGATACATTAAGTGGTACACGCAGTATCTGTGAGCCATTAGTCCTCCATATTCATGAAAACAAAAAGTTTAAATACCTAAACAACATCAACAATAACAAAGAATAATATTCTTTACAACAATCTTCACCATTTCTACCTCCTGGCTTGACTCGGCAGTCAGGTTTTAGTGACTAAATGATTTGTAAATCAAGCATAGTGAACTTATTTGTTCAAAAATTATAAGCTGTATGCAGTCCATAACTTACCACAATATTCCTTTTGTGCCACTCCATTCAACAGACTTTTTAACTGAGAAGACATCTCATCTCTGTTTTTCAAATCTATCAAGCATGATGTGACATTTCAATCATTAAAATTAATTACAATCATCCCTGAGAAACATTAACAATGTTACATGAACTAAAGATTCCTTAAACGAGAAGGAAGATTTGAGGGGTACTGTATACTGTTTTGAGTTCACTTGGTTCAAAGTGAAAGTCTACACTCAAAGAGATACTGTCAGTCAAACCAATCAAAGAAATAAATCCATGCTAAGTAAAGTTTTACTTTTGGAATGACAATTTATACACAATAGTTCAAGCATGTACATTCAAGGTAAAAAGAAGCTTGCACCAATGCTGCTGAAACTTTGGTTTGATTGCTTTCATGAACATAGCCACTGTCCCTAGCTAAAGAAAAAATAAAGAGAAAGAGTATTTTTGCATGACATCTGAATCACTTCATGTAAGTCATTTTAATTAATGGATTTTCATCGTGACTAGTATATACCTGCCCTTTAGGGCTAAAACTATGCAAGTACATTTAGCCTAGACAATATGAGCAATATGGCCACCTGAAAAGATGTGAGTATATATATTTTTATTTGTATATTTTAACACTTACACTATCTAAGGAAAGGAATATGATGCATCAGCAAATATTAATAACAGTAGTGTTATTTCTTAAAATAGAAATCTTCACTTAAATGGTTGAAAGTTTGGAATTGAAATCACACACAAATAAAGCATTTAACAATTCAGATGAACATTCTGTTTGCCACTCAAATGTGAGGCAAGTGGGGCAGTGTATTAGGTCCTTTAAACATCACAAAGATAAAGCAAAATAAACAAAGAAACAGTCAACACAGTTTCTCAAACTAAAAGATTCCTTCAGTAAACAAAAAGATGAAAGATGCACATTAAATAAGTTTAGGAACAGATTTTAAATGGACGGAATAATGAATCTTCAGTAGGAACTTTTGACACAAACATGCAATACTTTAGAAAGTCTTCTTTAAGGCATATTATAATGCTAGGCATAGAATTGTTAGCTCCTAAAATTTGTTCACCATCATAATTATGCTTCAAATTTAGTCGGTGGACTGAGAACTACCTTGCTTAATGAGGTCAACCATGTTGAGCAAGCCATTGATAGTAGCCAACTCATAGAAAAGAGTTTGGCCATCACCTACACCAATGTGTGTCCACAAGTGCTGCTGTAAATCAACAACTTTCTCAAATTTTAAGCCACATTTTATACAACATAAATTTTGCAAACTCTTAAGCGTGCGGGCACGGGCATTGTTTGCTTCATCCTTGCACTGTTCAGCCGGAACTCCTTCTCCTAATTTTGAATTTGACTCTGCATTTCCTACATGAGAAGCAAAGTGTTTCTGGAGGAGGCTCAACTTCACAAACGATTTGCCACACACATGGCATGATTTTTCCTTGCCATGAGTTCCTATATGACGGTTCAATGTGCTGCTCTGAGCAAAACTTTGACCACAGTCTGGACACTTAAATGGCTTTTCTCCAGTATGCGTTCTAGCATGGTCCTGTAGATTATTTTTGTAGTGGAATCCCTTGTTGCAAATATTACAAATAAATGGCCGGACACCTGTATGAGTCCGTGAATGCCTCTTTAAAGAGCTGCTGTGCGAAAAGGACTTGCCACAGTCGGGGCAATTTAAGGGCATTCTTGGACCGCTGCCATTTTCTGGACCTTGGGAAAAAATGACAAAACCAGTAATGAGTTATGTGATAAGAAACAACTAACAAGACATGCTAAGAGCACGATGATGTTCATACCTTGGGAATGTTGTGAACTGGAGTGCCAGCTATCTGAAACACAGTCTTCAGGGTCGTCACTGTCATGGGCCTCTTCATCTTTGACAGCTTCTTGATTGGCACGTTTCTGGCGCAGGTCTAAAAGAACACCATCCGTCCTAACGAGAGAAAATTATCAATATCAAATCAAAGAACTTAATTTAGATAAGAACAACAGAGGAGGTTAGTGATTCAATCAACGGCTGATGAAAATTTTAAAGGCAGTAAACTACAGTGTCCTCTTTAGTCTAACTAATGTTTAAAAGAAAAGATGGACTAAAAAATTATATCTTCATTTGCAGACAGTTAAAATTTTTCACTCAAAATCAAAGAAGTCATTAATCATGGCTTAGGTAAGTGTGCCAAGACCAAATTACACCGAGAATGAACGTGGAAAATTGAGAATAAGGTTGCAAAGAGGTTAAGATGTTATTAACAGTGCCAACAGTACTCATAGAAAGATAATGCTCGCAACACTAACCCGCTTGGCCACATTTTCGTATCTTGTCCAGCCCAGTTTGGTTGCTGTTCTTGGAAATGGATCGCCTCCTGTCGACTTCTGCAGGCTCTTTGGAAAGGTCATCAAATCAATCTCTTTTTCACCGAAAGGGACATCCGTTCTAACGCTGCTTAACCGATTGGGGCAATAGGAAGCAACATATAAACTATTCGATGCAGATTCAAATTATACAGTCGTCAAACATAAACATTTCTTAGATTCAGTTTTCTGCTACGCTCTATCCAAAACAAAGGGTGCTGTCTACTTCCCACTACATGTCAAGGGATTGACCACAATCTGACCACAGGATAGCCAACGATTCGCAGCAAATGTCTCGCACACCGGAGATGTCCATTTTGTTTCTCTGGATGAGTGCGATACACGCGCGAAGCTAAACCGTGACAGAATGAGGGACATTGGTAAACTGGGACCAACGAGGATGGACAAGGGTCGCACATTTCACCCGCCCGTGTGGCGTTAGAGTTGCAGGTGCGGTGTACAGTCGCGCGAGACGCCTCTCCATAAAAGTACTTTATTTATTGCTAGAATTATAACTATTGGCGTTTGCTGTTGTGGGGGCCTCTTCGATGCAGTGGCAAAGCGTCCGCAGTGATGCGGTGTCGACGCACCTGGGGGCAGAAGGCGAAATGAAATAAGCCGCAATGACGGCAAACTTGAGGGACAAGGACACAACCAGCTCGTGTTGCCGTAGGCGTTGAGGCGGCCGATGGAGCCGGCCAGCTGCATGCGGCCCGTCTTGACGTGGACGCGGACCGCCGCCGACAGCAGGGCATTCCCTGGCTGGGTGCGCAGCCGCATCTGGAGCAACAAGGACTACTTCGAACGGGGCATGCATCACCAGCTGCAGCAGGCCCTGCAGGCGGTGACGCACCTGGTACTCGCGCTCGTCGGCGTCCTCGGCGAGGTCGCCGGTCCGCAGCGGCGCCCCCCTGCGCGCGTCCAGCACCGCGTCCAGGGACGCGTTCCAGCACTGCGGCGACCGGGACAGCAAGGCGTTCATCTCGCGGACCACGAAGGCCGCCGCGAACTGCACGCTGCGGACGCCAAACACCGACGTGGTGGAGCCGTGGTGGTGGCACTCTGTCTCTGTCGCACTCCTCCGGCACGCCTCATGGTTGCGAGAGAGACGGAGCGACGTGCCAGGGAGGCCCGGCGAGCGCCCGCGGAGTGCGGGGTAGGCAACCCAGCGCGCTCGGCGTGTCCGGCGGGCTGGCCTACCCTCGCATGCGATTGCGATTGCGATTAATGCCTGGACCACAAGTGATCGTCTGGCTTTCGGGCCCGCCCGGTCATGTCGGTGATTCACCAGCACGTGACGGGGCGTCCCTACTGAGAGGAGTGGTTTTCTCGGTAGACCGGGTTCATACGCCCACGAATCTGGGTATGTAGCGGGGACAGCCTTTTGGCCGTCCACCCCTACACACCTTATCCGAGTCCGACACTCGTCTTTCTTCACCCCGTTTCTAGGGGCTGTGTTGAGCAGGTCTTCTAGTTGCTTCAGCCTCTTCACTCCTACCCTCCTCTTGATGCGACCTTGTAGTTGTGGTATCTGTCCGCAGCGTCGTGAGGCCTGAAATGCATTGCCGTACAGGCATCTGCGACTTTTCGTCGTGAGACCTGGAACGATGCGAGGCCCAAGGCCCACCCCCACGGTGTTAACTGCGTGCGGTTTGTGCCGCACTGCGCGCCCGCGAGTAGGTGTGCCAGATACTGCAGGGCTGATCCTCTTCGGTCGCAAGGATAGGGGTCTAGACGGCGTTGTGATGTCCGCTGGCGCCGCTTCGCAGACTGACCGCGACACCGAAGTACTTGAGCTCCTGCCGCGGACCGATGACTCCAGTGCTACCGTCCCGATGGTGCCAGATCTTGCGCGCGGAAAGTAAAAGTTCCCGTGACAGTGAGCCAGCTGTAGAAAAACGACCTGCGAACGAGGACTAGGGCCCGGGGGTGGGGGTGGGGGCTGCGAGGCGGCTGCTGGACCTGCGACGGAGACGCACTGCTTTGACGGCGGGGGAGGGAGTAGGGGGGGGGGGGGGGGGGTCGGGTCGGCCGGCGGCCTGCTGCGCTGCGACGTTGGGAGGCGGGGGAGGCGGGGGAGGGGGAGAATGCAAATGACCGTGACGAAAAACAGAACCCAGACGACGCTGCGGCTCACATGTTCATGGGCGTAGGTGGGCTAGGGCTAGGAGGTCCGGCTGCTGTGAACTGACAGGAGCGAGGCTGGGGCGGCGACGCTGCGTGCTACGCCACTTCCTGCTGGAATCCAGAGGGGGACCGACTGCGTGCCGCCAGGCCACCGCACAGCGTCTTGGTGCGCGTCGCCACGGCCCGGCGCAGGGAAAACCACCAGAACCGACGCCACCGCGTCCACGGCGTCGGTGCGCGGGGATGCAATTGCGCCACCCTCGTTGCGCCTCGCTGCTATGACGGAGGTCTGCGAGCCGCAGCAGGTGGTGGGCCCGCGTCGCGAGGCGCGGGGGTGACCGCGGTCAGCAGGGCCGGCAGGGGGACGGCCGCGCTCTTACCTGGAGTTGCGCTGGGATGCTTGCACTGCTACCTGCTACCGGTACTCGCTTGATGTTGGCGTCGACGAACACTGATTTGGAGCACACGCTGCTGGCGAGGGGCTGCGGCTGCGGGGCCCGGCTCGGCAGGCCCAGGGCGGCGTGCCCCAGCCCCCACCCCACGCTCAGGCCTGCAGACGCTGCGCCATGTGTGAGGGGACGCCAAGGGCCCGGACAAAGACACCAGGGGTAAATTGCTGATTACTCGGACACCGTTGCACTAAACCACTTTGCACTAGGACACGTCGACGCCCGGACGCGAACCACATCGATCGATACCACATGTTGACCACAACACTGACTTTATACCACTACTAATTAGCAAAAACCCGGAGCACGAAATAAACACGACTCGTCCCTAGCCCGGTAGGCGGCACTCCACCCTCGCATGCGCGGGCGCTCGCCGCCAGCCAGCCAGTGCTCCTAGTGGTGCACCGCGTGGCGTGGCGTCGTCGGCCGAGGGCCTCGTCCGGCATGAACCACTTGTCTACGTACTCGACCTCGAACGGCTGGGCCTTTGTGAGGTGCTGGCAGGCGCAGAAGTTGGTGGGGATGCCGGCGTCCTGGCACGTCCTGGTGCTGGGTATGGCCGTGGTCAAGCCGATGGCCCTCGGCCTGCGTCTCTTGCCCTGTGGTCCCTGCGGTGGCAGCCGCGCCATGAACATCGTCTTCTACTACACAGTGGGACAGGTTCGTTGCCTCCGACCCACCTTGCTGGAGAAGGCCCTCCGCACGCGGTCCGAGTCCGCGAGGACGCGCTCGTCCTCCAGGGTGCTGAGGTCCGTCATGTGCCCCAGCGTGCGGTGCAGGTCGTACACGGTGAGCAGGCGGTGGCGGTTGCACTGCAGGTGCTTGACGGCCTGCTTGTAGCGGCGGCGCACCCAGTCCGGCAGCACCACGTACATGGTCGGCAGCATGTTCTCCAGGTGGCCCTGCGCACCAGCACTGTTAGCACGGCCTGCCTCTGCCGGTCACTCGGCCAGTATGCGTGAGGCGGGGCCCTAGGGTGGGGCCGTGGCGCGGCGCGGCGTGCCTGGTACGTCTTGAGCACGTTGCCGAAGCGCAGACCGTGGTCGCTGAGGAACACCAGCGCCGTGCTGTTGAGCACGCCCGTGTCGTGGATGTCCGCGAGGAAGCGCTCGTACATGGCGTCGGCCTCGTCGGGCTGGTTGAGCAGGTCGTGCGACAGCGAGGTGCCCCAGATGACGCTGAAGAACTTGCGCCGCTGCGTGGCCATGCCCCGCACGAACTTGAGCCCGTAGTCGAACAGCACCTGGCGGCCAAGCGGGGCGTCAGCACGAGGAGGGGGTGACGCCGTCAACGCGCCGTCAACGCCGACGGGCCTCGCCTCGATCTGGTGGCGCTGGCCGATGCAGTACTGCGCGTTGTTGCCGCCGCCGCGCGCCAGGTGCTTCTCGCCGATGTACAGGAGGGGCCGAGGGTCGTAGTCGGTGGGCTGGTTCACGAAGCCTCGGCTCAGGTAGTGGAAGAGCCCCATCCAGGCGGTGTCCTCGGCGAACATGGACACGTATCCCTGCGAGAATGGCGCACGCCAGAGTCACGGGGGAGTGGCACGGAGTGGCTGCGGCCAGGTCCACGCACCTTGGCGTTGAAGCTTTTCCAGATCCACGGGCAGGCGTCGAAGTGCGTCGTGCTGTTGGTCCAGCAGGCCTTCTTCAGCTCCGGCACCGACAGCCCACTCAGCAGCGGCACCAGGTTGGGGAACGTGTTGTCCTCCACCTGCAGCGAGGCAGCACGTCGCCGATGACTCGAGGTGCTCCGCTCCCCCGGCAGGCCGGCAGGCCGACAGGCCGGCAGGCCGACACCCACCTTGTTGTAGCCCAGCATGCTGCTGGCGGCCAGGCGGCGCTCCAGGAAGGCGCGCGTCTTCGGCATCTTGCGGATCATGTTGAGCCTGGACAGCGAGTCCATGCCCACGACGAGCACGCTCAGCGCGTCCTCGGACACGTGCTCGCGCGCGGAGGCCCCCGCCGAGGCGCCGCGCGGCCGCCGGACGGGCACGAAGCCGAAGTAGTCGAGGTACACCTGGCGGACATGACACGGACATGACGCGGACGGGGCGTGCTTGCCGATGGCTGGCATGGGTCTCGGTGTGCAGCACGATCGGTCTTCGTTACCTCCCGCCGCTCGGGGCTGGCTGGGTCAGTACAGGTGACGCGGACGAACTCGTGCGGCACCGCGATGGAGTCGTTGAACGGGACGCAGTCGTCGGCGAAGCTGGAAAAGGCAATCCGTTCGTCAGCACGGCTGTTCGACCCACACCCCGCGGGACGGCCGCGCCGCGGCTAGCCCTCACCGGATGTCGTTGCCGTAGGCCACGCCGTCGTCGAGGACGCCGCGGTCGTCCTGCCAGCGAGGGCCCCGGACGCGCCACATGGCCGTGAAGCAGCACGCAACGCTGCTGGCGTTGTACTTGGCCGCCAACCCCGCCGCCAACAACAAGTGCGTGTCGTTGGACCGCACCAGCGGCGGCGGGTCGGCGCACGTGATTGTCGGGAAGTCGTACACCATGGGCATCACCTCCCTGCTGAAGGGCTGGTGCGCCGGCACGCGGCACCCCGCCGTGTCCAGCAGCCAGGCCGCCGGCGGAGGGGGGCACGTCGACGACTTCGAGGAGGGCCCGGAGGACCTGGAGGACCTGGAGGACGCGGCTCGCCTTCAGATCTGCGGCATTCGTTTTCGAAATGGGATCACAGTGGATCGGCACCTGGTGGAGGCTGTCGTGGGACCCGCCGTGGCCGTGGCGGGGCGGTGGAGATCCGAAGCGGCGAACTGGCTGCGGTACAGCAGGGCGACTGGAAACTCTGTGAAACCAGCAGCCTGCTCATTGTCGTCGTCTGTACTTGGCATGCGCGGTGTGCATTTCCTCCCCGGCCTCACCGTTTCTGCTGAGGAACAGTCTCGCCTGCAGCAGGACGTACAGTCCGTACAACAAGCAGCAGCTGAGCAAGAAGTTGACGAAGTGGCGCCGCCGGAAGAACCCGGCGAGGCAGAACATGGTTCGCTGTTGCCAATGCGGCGCGTCAGGGTGACCGGGGCACTCGAGTGGCGAGAGACACTTTTTGGACTGTTTGTACTCACCGCATGGTGCGGAGGTAGCGTGCCAACGTTCATCGATACACAATGCAACTACGAAACTACGACTCGCACATCAGTCAACTTTCCTTAAAATCAGGGCTTGAAGATTGAGTTTTCTGCTCGTTTATGCTAGGGAGAAGCGAAGCCTGGCTGACGGATTCCGGACTTGACTGTACGTCTCAATGTTGTTTCTCTAGCTCTGTGGCTCCGGACTCTTAGAACGAACAGCCGCGAGACGCAACTGCACTGTAGCGGCCGGGCCTGGCAGGACTGCGGCTGCAGGTGTACCTCCGTCCACCCACGGCACACACTCCTTCTCTCTCGCACACCCAGCCTCCCTTCGGCGATAAGGCGGCAGGACGTCACACGCAGCGGACGTCGCAAAGGCGGCCGTTGGGCGCACTTCCTGCGGGATCGGGATTTCCCCTGTGTGTTGTAATCCACTTGCAGTGCAGCTAGCAGCTACTGTGTGCCTCTTCATAACTCGAGAAACGAGCCACGACGCGTCAGAAAACAGTCCGACTGTTCCAAAAATGGACGCCCAACGTGGGGCTCGAACCCACGACCCTGGGATTAAGAGTCCCATGCTCTACCGACTGAGCTAGCCGGGCTGGTTGCAGGTGGCGGCCAAGTGCCTGAGCCAAGAGCGAGGTTGGGGCTCCGCGGCCGTCCGCTTTCGATAACGGGACGGACATCGGTCACGCCGCCACCGCTGCGGCGCTGCGGGCCACCAGCTATCAAGAGAGAGAGAGAGGACCTGGCGCCCTGCCTCTCATTTTATCCCGTAGAAATTTAATTTCATTACTCGAATGAAAGGAAAGGAACAATGAACTGGGCTTCGCTTGCTTCTCTAGCGCGCTCCCCTGGGGCTTCGGGGCGGAATAATTCAGAGGCCACTGGCCGATTCTCAAGGACGAACAGCGGACCGATTCCGAGAGTCGTTTTCGTCGCCCCGTCTCTCTCGCACTCATGGGGCGTCCCGTAGAGGTGCGAGAGAGACAGGGCGACGAAAGCTACCCTCGGAATCAGCCTGCGGTACACTTCGGGATGTTTCTCTCTCCTGTCGCTCGGAAAATGTATCGCCGTTCAAAAGCTAAAACTAGAGGCGGTGCGAACACCAAGGCGATGAGCCGACGGGGAGGGGGTGGGGGCAGTGCGTCCAAGCTGCTGTGTCGGAATGTTCAGCAGACCGATAATCGTCCACCGTGACCTGCTGGCCCTGCTGGCTGACAATGGAATAGGCCCGGGTTCGAACCCAACCCGCCGTCCGTTTCACACGTGCGCATTTCTCTTTCTTTTTGTTTCGTCATCCTCTTTTGGTCTCTTCCGTCCCGTCGGAGCTCCACCACTGTAGGACGAGCAGCGTAGCCTGCCGGTGCTTGCCCCTGGCGCCACGCGCCGCGAGAGAGAGAGAGAGAGAGAGAGAGAGAGAGAGAGAGAGAGAGAGGGGGGAGAAAGAGAGGCAGACAGGAATGCCGCGGGGGGCGTCGACGGCGTCGAGACGCTGGCCGGTGCAGGCGGCACGTGAGTCGATTCGACGATGCGACGTCGGGGCGGGGCGGGGCGGCCGGCCTTCCTGTCATCCACACTGTGAAAAGCCCATTTCCCGTACAAGTACGGACATTGCGCCTGTGGTTGACGCAGGGGCAAAAAATACACCCAGTTCCAGCGCGCCTGTTTGCGCTTCGGGGCTGTTTGCGTCCGTGCACACAGTGCACAAGACCTGCTTTGGGCCTTTGACAGGGCGGACCGACTTTGGTCCACACCGCGCTGGCTAGCTGCACACGCTGCACGGAAGCCTGGGGCAGCCCCACGCCCGGGGGAGGCACACCTTTCAAATCAAACTGGGGCGACTGACCGCCTGCACATTGATTCCGAGTGAGGTTTTTTCGTTGCTGTCTCTCTCGCACTTGTGGGGCGTCCCCCATGGGTGCGGGAGAGACACAACGACGGAAAACGACTCTCGGAATCAGTCTGCTGGTGTGTTTGCTGATTGCTCACCTGGGAGAGAGCCGAGGGGTGCCGGCCGGGCAAACACGGAAGGGGTGCGACAGAGAGAGAGAAAGAAAGAGGATGCGACACCTAGAAAGCCCCGAGCCACGGGGATTGCCTCGCTCTCGCCTCTCGATGGAGTCGAATGTCGGATCGCTTTCGGCGGCGACCGAGCGACCTTGGTTTCAAACCCTGCGACCTGGATCCTGGGTTGTTCCTCTCCCCTACACCTGCAGATTGGGCTTGCCGGGCACGGCCGGCACGGCCGCCCGGCCCGAGCGTATCTGCTCTTATTGACAGATTACGGAGCGGGACGAGGGAAGAGGGGATTTTATCGGGAAACAATTTAGCGCGGGCGGGGAGGTCGGAAAAAGGTGAACCGTGTCGGCTCGGCGTTGGCCGGCCGGCATCGCCCCTCAGTGTTCCCGTTCACCGCGTCGCTTCATTCTCTTCCTCGAAATCACTCCCCCTCGTTGCTCCGAGAGAGAGAAGAGGGAACACGACGCGGGCCGTGTGCCGTGGTGCCGTGTCCCAGGGCGGCGCCGCCCCGCCCCGCCCCGCCCCGCCCCGCCCCGCCCCGCCCCGCCCCGCCCCGCCCCGCCGCGGCGCCACAGTTCTGTCGCCGCGGCACCGCGCAGGCACTGCCTGCTAATTGGTCTTGATGACGTTCTCCGCGACATTGACCCGCGCGGCCCGGGCGGACGGCGCGGACGGCGCGGCCCGTGCAGTGCGAGATGCTTAATGAGCGAGACAGTGCGGGCGCAGCGGGTACGCCTTAATTACCCCGTCGCTCTGTCTCTCTCGCTCCCCTGCGGTACCCTGCGGCAGCCTCCCCGAGTGCGAGAGAGACAGAGCGAGGAGAATCGGACCAGAGCGAGGACCGCCGCCATGCCGGTGTGGGCGGAAAGGTCTGTGTGAACTTGAACGGCAGCGCGTCTGGAACTCTGGCGGGCACAACGCGCGGACAACCAGAAGAGTAGTGACGCGTTGTCCAATTTAAAATGGGTTTCTTCTCTCCCCCACAGAAAACTGAGTAAAGTTTCGTCTTGTCGGCTTATTTTTTTCCAGTGGCGGGTTGACGGCGCGAAGGAGGTGCGCGGTCTGTGCGGTCTGTGCGGTGCGCCCCGAGAGGCATGCGAGAGGCATGCCGCCCTCGCATGTGGGTCGGTCCACACTCCACGGCGTTCACAGTGTCGGCCCTCGTCCACT